ATTCTTACCAAACAAATATAACATATTCTAAAAAACAATTATAATACATATATATTGTATACATAATTAACTTTTAATACATATTGCAGATTCAACATAGTATTGCTATGTATTGCTATAAATGATAATAAATAAAAAATATCGCTAAAATCAGTAATTATTTATTAAAAGGTATCCATCCAAGTAAGTTTTCCTATTTTTTTTTAAAGGCATTGAACCCCTCTAAGTTGACCTCTTTAATTGCTAGTTGCTACGTTCTGTTCTTTGGAATTTGTTTGTTGTGACTGGATAATTTTTCTTCCTTTATATGGTGAACAAGTTCTGATTCAAAAAAGAATAAAAAATTATGGAGATGACATTAGTGACTATGCTTGTATAGATTAGTGGATTTACTAATCAAACTAAAATGACCTTTTTTGGTCTATGAAATCAAAACATCGGTAAAAATATTATGTTGATTGAAAAGAAGATATTAGGAAAGTAAGAGTAAAAAATTTAAGACCACTCATTTTTTCAATGAGAGGAGCTTTGATTTTTCGAAGTCCATGTTAATCAAGTGATTTTTTAGATAATGAACTACGAAATAGAAAAATTAAAAAAATCGTGGTGTCGGACAATTTGCGCAAGCAACATATTTCAAATGTATTGGAAAACAATGTTTTTGGAGTCGCATAAACGTGTCCTTCAACTGTTATCTATTAGCCTTCAAGTGGCGTTTTACGTGTTAATTGATATTTTACATAGTGTTTTATGTGTATTATGCCATATAGTATATAAACGTTTATTTATTTAATTTTATATAAGTTTAAGTATCTACTTATACATACCAAAATTGAAGGACATAAATGTTAGTTAAGGCGAAATCAAATGAACTATTGATGTATTGCGCCTTTTGATTTCCTTCCAAATATTTTTACAAAGTAAAATTTTAAGAAATAATACAAGTAACAAAAGAGTATTTCATGAACCTACATAAGTTGAACAACTAAAATTAGTATCAATATTTTGTCGCCTCTTTAATTGATTTAATGTGGTTGTTGTTTTTCAGGGAAATAATTTAAGTCAAAGTTATTAGTACCTGATATTTTTCGATTCTTAATTAGAGGTCTCATATTTAAATTTTGATATAGAGTTGTTGATAGAAAAAAACATTTTATCAATAAAGTGGGACTTCCAAACACAAATTGAGATTAAACGGGCTTCAAAACAGATACGACACATCCAATTGGAAAACATAAAAACATATTATTATCTTACACAATATAGCTATGTAAGATACAAAGTTCATATTTCCTTGTCCTTCATTGTAATTTGTATGCATTCCAACGCCGTGCAAGTGACGGACGACTTATTACAAGCAAATAGTTGTCCAGTTTTGCTAATTTAAAGATTCAATTATCAAAATCGAAAAGAGTCAAAGAAGTCAACTAAAATTATTATTATTTTGGAAATTACTATCACAAGTTGTTGTATTTTTTTCTACTTTGAAGAGCATCTATAGATCTTAATTTTATACTCTAAATACTGAAAAGTACAAATGAAATTAGTTCAAGTTAATTACATTATATAAGGCTGCTTATCAAATACTAATATTTTATATTTGTTGAGAATCATGAGGTTCAAGATTTATATTTCAATGGAGACAAAACATCAGGTAGTTTCTTCTCATTTGTTCAAGGCATGGTGGTTAATCATCAATGTTATCAGCTAGTACCTGTTATTGGTGGGGAGTTGAAATTAGTCAAGTTCATACATACAAACTAATAAAGAAGATAAATATCAAGTAGTCAACAATAATTTAATATCAGGAATACTATGGAGTTTAATTTGTACTTGGGAACAAAATCAAAGAAGATGAATGTTGTGAACTTGGATAATTTCGGTCATGTTTATGGGCTATTTATTTGGGCCAGGGGTAAACCAGAAAAATAGATTAGATATAAATTAGATAAAATAAATGAATTGAAAAAAAAAGAAAAAAGGAATACTTAAGCTGATTCCAAGATGTATGATTGAATCAAAGTAATTTGTACTTCATTCAAGCATTGGATCTCCTGTCTCATATCAATTAAGAGGGGTCATGGAAGGAACATGTTCAAAGTCACGATCAATTCCTTTTTCAAATCCTGCTGCAGCTTAGGGGTGTGCACTATTCGGATTAAATCGAATAATCGAATCAAATCAAACCGAATTTTTATTTGCATTGGTTTTTTGTTTTTTCGGATTGGTTTTGGATTAATAAATTACTTTGTTTGGTTTTTTGGTTTGGTTTCGAATTTTAAAAAATAAAAACTGAAAAACTGAAAAAACCGAATTATATATATATATAATGTTTAGGTTTAGAATTAAGTTGGAGTTAACCACTTTTGTCCCTTTTTGGTTATTGTCTTTCATGATGATTACGTTTATATTTTATGTTTGAATTACATCTATAATAGGTATACTTATAAGTATTGTGTTTTAAGTTTTACCTATGATTTATATTAGAAAGAATATTTAAGGGATTAAATATTATTACTTTGGTTATATATGTTATTAATTATTGACATAACCGAATAACCAAACCGAAAAAAGCCGAACCGAATAGAGGAAAACTAAACCAAACCAAATTTATTTTGGATCGGATTGGGTTACACTTTTACAAAACCAAAAACCGAAAATCCAAACCGAATAGTGTAAAACCAAACCAAAAAACCGAAGGCACACCCCTACGGCGTGAAGAGGTCAAGGAACAGTCCAACAAATTATTCATTGGGAAAATTGTACATAATGACAAACTATTAATTCAAATTAAATGGTATAATCACACTTTGATTTAATTGTGTCCTGTAGCAAATTGTTTGTCAGCGTCTCTCTCCCTCAAACTCTCGCTCGCCACTCTCCTCTCTCGCTCACTCACTCCCTATGTGCTCGCCTCTCTCGCTTTATACAACAGAATTGTATAAATTGTGTTTCTGTTTGTATAAAGCAAGAGAAAATTGTATATACACATGCAAATACATATATATTCGTCCTATACACTTATAATTATACAATAAAAATATTTCCCTGCCCAGTTCTCTTTTGCCTTTCTCTCTTTCTCTTTTTATACAATACAATTGTATAAATTGTGTTTCTATTTGCTTATACAACAAAATTGTATAAATTGCGTTTCTATTTGTATAAAGCGAGAGAAAATTGTATATACACATGCAAATACATATATATTCGTCCTATACACTTATAATTATACAATAAAAATATTCCCCTGCCCAGTATTATGTTTGTATAATGTATAATTTATGTTTGTATAAAGCGAAAGAGAGAGCGATTTTTGATATACAAATATTTTTGTCAACAATTTATACAAACGAGAGGCTAACAACAATTTATACAAATGGCCTGCCAGCGAAATTATACAAATTTGAAGAGGAGCCAACGAATTATACAATGCTTCTTTTTGTATATATGTATAGCGAAATAGACAGCTTTCAATTATATATGTATAGCGAATTATACATATATATGTTTGCTATGGAGCGCAATTATGCAAACTTTGCTATAACATACAAATATGATTTTTTTGTTTGCTATACGTGAAAATTGCTCTTATTCATTCATATAAGACTTGATTGCTAATTTTCCCTTCATATAATGCTTATGGGCCAATTATTATAGTGTGTTTCAGTAAATTTCACAAATAGACAAATCAATATTCTCATATTTATAGGGTTAGGCACACAAATCATGTGGATCAGCTCTTAATCTTCAAATGGGAAACCTATTATGTAATATTTAGCCCAATGCCCATGTTGGGCCAAGCTTGTCACAGAAAATGCTAAAATACAGGCTCGATTAGCCCAATGGATAGATTTACTTGAATGGACTGGGTTGTACATTAGTTCATTTATTTTAGGAACTGAAAAAACAAGGGAAATTTACAGAAATTTCACTAGTTTATGAGCTAATTACTTATAGATACATTCTAATTTATAGTATTACGAATCTCACCAGATTATGGTGTGTAGATACATGTATCTCGGGATATATGAGGGACAAAATTATGTGTAGTTTGTTCTAGATACACTGTATCTAAGTGGATTTGGATGTATCTAATATACATAGAGAAATCTCGCTCTCCCCCCTCCCAACTCGCACGCCACTCTCCTATGTATCTGATATCCCAGATACATGCAAATCACACGAGATACACACAAATACATGTATCTAGTATGTATTTAGTGTGATTCACATGTACTTGGATACATGACTATCTCCCTCCCTATCTCACCTGCCTCTCTCCCTATTTTAGTGTATCTGATAGGAAAAATACACCTATTAGAATTAGCATATATAATATGGATGTATGTCTAGTAAGCAATATGGATGTATGTCTCGCAAGTTAAATTAGGAATATGGTGTATCTTCCTCTATATATGGTAGAAAACTCTTAATTAGTGGTAAGATACGAAATCTTTTGAAAGTATAAATAGGATTACCATATATGTCTGGTATTCATACATTCATATTGTATATGCTAATTCGTCAGAGACCAATCCTACTTCTCAGATGTATGCAGAAATATGATCGTTCAATGCAAGATTTAGGCATATAACTCGTCAACATTATACTCTCTTAGATAAACTTTCAGGCAATAAGAGCTCAGCCATGTGCTGCATAAAGTAAAGAGGAAATACCCAAAGCATTGTATTAAACAATCCAAACTCAATGTCACACATAACTTAAAATAAATTCAAGTTGATTCTTGTAAATATATAGAATATCTGGAAGTCGAAATGATAATAAATATAACAGGAAGTAATATATATACTTTATTTTCCTAGCTTAGACTTAATTTTTCCTTCGATGATGGACATGTTCATGGTTTTTCATCATCCATTTGAGCTCGATCCTCCTTGTCTGCAACAATTAATTAAGATGTATGGCATCAAAATTAATGGGATCAATACAACAACATGGAACTAATATCATCTATGCTAACAACTAATAATAATTTTTTTTCAGAACAAGCTAGATATGGTTGTTGCTTTACCTCTCATCATCCGCCGGCTGAAAAAAAATTTCACTTGCCAGAACACAGCGGTGTATGTGACACCTAACAACTGAACCAAAATACAAATAAATATCGATCAACCAGCAAGGGGTAAATTAATTTTGAGTACCGTATAAGAAACGAGCATCTCAGCACCTGCCTTCGTTGCCTTCGCATCGCTAACAGGGCCAGTGTAGTATCTCTGGAATAGAATTGAGAGAGTGTGTGTGTGTTAATTATAGGCTAAAATTGAAATTACTAAAACAATTGAACGTACCTGACCAAATTTGATGACGGATCGGTGGAATCTGGTGCGGTGCAAGACGCCACCGTTTCTCATGCTAGAAACTAAATGCTTTGTCGTGATATCAATCGTAGCGTTAAAAAAACGAGTTAACAGTCCCATCTAGCTACAACAATTGTGAATCTGAAATCAAAAACTAATACAGTAGTGGCGGTGGATCAATAAGTTTTATGTAAATGCTAATTGTAGGTCTAAAAATATTTTAACTATTCAACAAATATTATAACCCAATAGCTGGTTTAATGGTGTTAATTTGACTCATCCAAACACATGTAGTTTTCAAAAACCAACGCAAAGATCTGGTCCTCAATTTCCTCCAAAATACGATTCTACTGTAAGTAGCAAGCAACACAGTGCAATTCACTACTTATGAGAGATATGTGGGTGGGCAAATTTATAGACCATTCTTTTGTAAAGAAACACACGCAGCTAGGTGGGGGTCGTGGGTTCGGACTAACCCATTCGTTTTTTCGTAGACCCTGTTTTTGTACTAGAAAATTAATTAAAAGAGTATTTGTTTGGTTGTGACCGGATAATTTTTCTTCCTTTATAAGGTGAACAAGTTCTAATTCAAAAAAGAATACAAAAATTATGGAGATGACATTAGTGACTATGATTGTATAGATTAGTGGATTTACAAATCAAACGAAAATGACCTTTTTTGGTCTATGAAATCAAAAAGATCGTTAAGAAATTCTGTTGACTGAAAAGAAGCTAAGGTATTAGAAAAGTAAGAGCAGAAAATTTAAGACCACTCATTTTCAATGAGACGAGCTTTGATTTTTCGAAGTCCATGTTAATCAAGTGAATTTTTAGATATTGAACTACTAAATAAAAAAATTTAAAAAATCGTGGTGTTGGACAACCTAAAATTTGCGCAAGCAACATATTTCAAATGTATTGGGAAACAGTGTTTTTGGAGTCACATAAACGTGTCCTTCAACTGTCATCTATTAGCCTTCAAGTGGCGTTTTACGTGTTAATTGGTATTTTACATAGTATTTATGTGTATTATGTCATATAGTATATAAACGTTTATTTATTTAATTTTATATAAATTTAAGTATCTACTTATACATACCCAAAATTAAAGGACATAAATGATAGTTAAGGCGAAATCAAATGAACTATTGATGTATTGTGCCTTTTGATTTCCTTCCAAATATTTTTACAAACTAAAACTTAAGAAATAATACAAGTAACAAAAGAATATTTCATGAACCTACATAAGTTGAACAACTAAAACTAGTATCAATATTTTGTCGCCTCTTTAATCGATTTTATGTGGTTGTTGTTTTTCCAGGGAAATGATTTAAGTCGAAGTTATCAGTACCATTGTGGTAAGTGGTAAATATTTTTCGATTCTTAATTAGAAGTCTCATGTTTAAATTGTGATATAGAATTGTTGATAGAAAAAGAGTTTTACCTCTAAAGTGGGACTTTCAAACACAAATTGAGATTAAACGTGCTTCAAAACAGATATGGCACATCAAATTGGAAAACATAAAAACATATTATTATCTTACACATTATAGCTATGTAAGATACAAAGTTCATATTTCCTTGTCCTTCATTGTAATTTGTATGCATTCCAAATGTCAACGCCGTGCAAGTGATGGACAAGGAACAGCCCAACAAAATATTCATTCAGATAACGATAAGGAAATTTTTTGTATGAAATAGCAAATTATTAATTCAAATTAAATGTTATAGTCATAGTTTATTTTAATCATAATTCGCAGTAAACATCCCCTTTTTTCCCATCTGATTCGATACACAATTAGCCATTTTCAGTATAGAATTAGTCATTTTACACATTTCGGTATAAAATGTGTTTGTGTTTGTATAAAATGAGAGAAAAGTGTATATACAAATACAAATACAAATACATATATTTTCGTCATATACACTTATAATTATACAAATACAGATCTTATTATACAAATTACAATGTATAAATGAATTTATACAAAACTAAACAATTTGTATAAAACTGGATGTTTGTAACGAATTATACAAATCAAAAGCTCCATAGCAAACATAAAATTTGCTATAGAGCGCAATTATGCAAACTATAGCTATAAAATACAAAAATGATTTTTATGTTTGTTATATGTGAAAGTTACTCCGATAAGTAATATTTAGTCCAATGCTCATGTTGGGCCAGGCTTGTCACAGAAAATGCGAAAATACAGGCTCGATTAGCCCAATGGATAGATTTACTTGAATGGACTGGGTTGTACATTAGTTCATTTATTTTAGGAACTGAAAAAAAAGGGAAATTTACAGAAATTTCACTAGTTTATGAGCTAATTACTTATAGATACATTCTAAATTGTAGTATTACGAATCTCACCAGATTATGGTGTATCTAGATACATTTATCTTGGGATATATGGGGGTCAAAATTATGTATAGTTTGTTCTAGATACACTGTATCTAAGTGGATTCGGATGTATCTAGGATACATAGAGAAATCTCGCTCTCCCCCCTCCCAACTCGCACGCCACTCTCCTATGTATCTGATATCCCAGATACATGCAAATCACATGAGATACACACAAATACATGTATCTAGTGTGATTCACATGTACTTGGATACATGACTATCTCCCTCCCCATCTCACCCGCCTCTCTCCCTATTTTAGTGTATCTGATAGCAAAAATACATCTATTAGAATTAGCATATATAATATAATATGGATGTATGTCTCGTAAGTTAAATTAGGAATATAGTGTATCTTCCTCAATATATGGTAGAAAACTCTTAATTAGTGATAAGATACGAAATCTTTTGAAAGTATAAATAGGATTAGCATATATGTCTGGTATTCATACATTCATATTGTATATGCTAATTCGTCAGAGACCAATCCTCCCTCTCATATGTAAGCAGAAACATGATCGTTCAATGAAAGATTTAGGCATATAACTCGTCAAACATTATACTCTCCTAGATAAACTTTCAATTACGTACCTTGGGCAATAAGAGCTCAGCCATGTGCTGCATAAAGCAAAGAGGAAATGCCCAAAACATGTATTAAACAATCCAAACTCAATGTCACACATAACTTAAAATTGATTCTTGTAAATATATAAAATATCTGGAAGTCGAAATGATACTAATAAATATACTCTATTTTCCTAGCTTAGACTTAATTTTTCCTTCAACAATGGATATACTTGTTCTTAAATTCCCTGGTTCATGGTTTTTCATCATCCATTTCCTTGGCCTGAGCTCGATCCTCCCTGTCTGCAACAATTAATTAAGATGTATGCCATCAAAATCAATCAATACATCATCTATGCTAACAACTAATAATAATAATAATATTTATTTTTTTTCAGAACAAGCTAATATGGTTGTTGCTTAATTACCTCTCATCATCTGCTGCACGACAGGGCTGAAAATATTTTTGTAGTGCCAGAACACAGCGGTGTATGTGACACCTAACAACTGAACCAAAAATATTATGAGGGTAATAACTCAAAAAATAATCGATCAACCAGCCAGCAAGGGGTTTTGAGTACCGTATAACAAACGAGCATCTCAGCACCTGCCTTCATTGCTCTCTCATCGCTAACAGGGCCAGTGTAGTATCTCTGGAATAGAGTGAGTGTTAATTATAGGCTAAAATTGAAATTACTAAAACAATTAATTAATTAACCTACCTGACCAAATTTGATGACAGATTGGTGGAATCTGGTGCGGTGCAAGACGCCACCGTTTCTCATGCTAGAAGCTAAATGCTTTGTCATATTATTAATCGTAGCTATAACATAAGGTTTTATTAGTGCCTTCATACTTACTTGTGAAGATATCTGTATGTATCTACAACAATTGTTCTTTTTTATGCTACCTTTGTAGACATTGAAATTTTGTGGGACTCTACAAGAGGTATTCAATTCAAATTAAGACTCTAGAAGGTGTGTTGAGTTTCAATTAGAATCTACTCAACCCTAAACCTTATTTTATGTATATATAAAGGATACGTACTAAATTCTCTTAAAAGGCATCTCAAAAATTCCATAGAGAGATCAAGATCTCAAATATTCCACAAAATCATGGAATATTTATATAGAGGTCAAATCTAAATCATCCTAGTTCGAGAAATACGCCACCTCGAATCATGGATAAATCTTATGAGAGGAGAATCAAGGGAGGAACAAAATTGTATACCCGCATTGATTATCAATAAAATATTCATGTTTCTTCATATTTTATTTGTTTGGTTTATTTATTTTTCATATGTTTAAAATTTGTTGCAAACACCCTTATCTATATTTTTGTCCGATTTAATCCTTTAATTATTCAACAAATATTATAACCTCATATCTGGTTTAAAGACATCCATTATCCAAAGACTTGTCGTAGTTTTCAAAAACCATGCTCCTCAATTTCCCCCAAAATACGATTATGTAATTAGCAAGAAACACTGTGCAATGTCAGTACTTATGAACAAACAAATTATTGACCATTCTTTTATGAAGAAGAACACACAGACGTAGAATACAACTTTTTTGAAGACGATGAATAACTTGGAATTTTAAAGACACAAAACAGTATCGATGTCCAATCTGCAATATGGAATATATCATATCAGATTCAATTTTTTTACAAGCGTTACTTCTTAGAACGGCCCTTCATTATGATAGTCAGGTAACAAAAGATCATGCACAACTGTAAGACAATCAGCAGTTGGTGTTGCCACATCCATGACATAGGAAAGTTGATGTTGCAAAATAAATTATGGGAAGATTAATATCTTCAGATTATTGCAATCGAAACAGGTTATAAATACTTAAGTAAAAGATTACTCATTTTCCTCTCTTGTTTGTTGTATACAAATATGAGCATGATGATGGAATCACATGCAAAAGTAAACTAAAAGTTTACTAATATCAGTTGGTAACCGGTTGATCATTTCGGTTCAAATGTGATGCAAATGAAATTGAGAATTCATATGGTTGTATGTTAAAGAAATAAAAATTCTTCAAAAATTTTGTTGGGTGGGTTGTTCTTGTGATAAAATGATTATTTGAAACATATAAATTATTTGGAACATATAAAAAAGTGAATATGAGCCCGTCATGTGAACCGCTTACTATTATGATTTAATAAATGC